TCCTTGATACATGAATATATCCCAATACTCTGCTAGAATGATATGGTGATATTGACGTCCTTGATACATGAATATATCATAATACTCTGCTAGAATGATATGGTGATATTGACGTCCTTGATACATGAATATATCCCAATACTCTGCACGAATGATATGATAATATTGACATCCTTGATACCTGAATATATCACAATACACCACAAGAATGATATGGTGATATTGACGTCCTTGATACATGAATATATCATAATACTCTGCTAGAATGATATGGTGATATTGACGTCCTTGATACATGAATATATCATAATACTCTGCTAGAATATATATAATACTCTGCTAGAATGATGATATTGACGTCCTTGATACATGAATATATCATAATACTCTGCACGAATAGAATGATATGGTGATATTGATATTGACGTCCTTGATACATGAATATATCATAATACTCTGCTATGATATGGTGATATTGACGTCCTTGATACATGAATATATCCCAATACTCTGCACGAATGATATGATAATATTGACATCCTTGATACCTGAATATATATCACAATACACTGCAAGAATGATATGGTGATATTGACGTCCTTGATACATGAATATATCATAATACTCTGAGAATGATATGGTGATATTGACGTCCTTGATACATGAATATATCTGCTCTGCTGAGAATGATATGGTGATATTGACGTCCTTGATACATGAATATATCATGCAATACATAATGCTCTGCAGAATGATATGGTGATATTGATAATACATGAATATGATATCTCTGCTAGAATGATATGGTGATATTGACGTCCTTGATACATGAATATATCATAATACTCTGCTAGAATGATATGGTGATATTGACGTCCTTGATACATGAATATATCATAATACTCTGCTAGAATGATATGGTGATATTGACGTCCTTGATACATGAATATATCATAATACTCTGCTAGAATGATATGGTGATATTGACGTCCTTGATACATGAATATATCATAATACTCTGCTAGAATGATATGGTGATATTGACGTCCTTGATACATGAATATATCATAATACTCTGCACGAATGATATGATAATATTGACATCCTTGATACCTGAATATATCACAATACACCACAAGAATGATATGGTGATATTGACGTCCTTGATACATGAATATATCATAATACTCTGCTAGAATGATATGGTGATATTGACGTCCTTGATACATGAATATATCCCAATACTCTGCACGAATGATATGATAATATTGACATCCTTGATACCTGAATATATCACAATACACCACAAGAATGATATGGTGATATTGACGTCCTTGATACATGAATATATCATAATACTCTGCTAGAATGATATGGTGATATTGACGTCCTTGATACATGAATATATCATAATACTCTGCTAGAATGATATGGTGATATTGACGTCCTTGATACATGAATATATCATAATACTCTGCTAGAATGATATGGTGATATTGACGTCCTTGATACATGAATATATCATAATACTCTGCTAGAATGATATGGTGATATTGACGTCCTTGATACATGAATATATCATAATACTCTGGTAGAACGATATGGTGATATTGACGTCCTTGATACATGAATATATCATAATACTCTGCTAGAATGATATGGTGATATTGACGTCCTTGATACATGAATATATCATAATACTCTGCACGAATGATATGATAATATTGACATCCTTGATACCTGAATATATCACAATACACCACAAGAATGATATGGTGATATTGACGTCCTTGATACATGAATATATCATAATACTCTGCTAGAATGATATGGTGATATTGACGTCCTTGATACATGAATATATCCCAATACTCTGCACGAATGATATGATAATATTGACATCCTTGATACCTGAATATATCACAATACACCACAAGAATGATATGGTGATATTGACGTCCTTGATACATGAATATATCATAATACTCTGCTAGAATGATATGGTGATATTGACGTCCTTGATACATGAATATATCATAATACTCTGCTAGAATGATATGGTGATATTGACGTCCTTGATACATGAATATATCATAATACTCTGCTAGAATGATATGGTGATATTGACGTCCTTGATGCATGAATATATCATAATACACCACAAGAATGATATGGTGATATTGACGTCCTTGATGCATGAATATATCATAATACTCTGCTAGAATGATATGGTGATATTGACGTCCTTGATACATGAATATATCATAATACTCTGCACGAATGATATGATAATATTGACATCCTTGATACCTGAATATATCACAATACACCACAAGAATGATATGGTGATATTGACGTCCTTGATACATGAATATATCATAATACTCTGCTAGAATGATATGGTGATATTGACGTCCTTGATACATGAATATATCCCAATACTCTGCACGAATGATATGATAATATTGACATCCTTGATACCTGAATATATCACAATACACCACAAGAATGATATGGTGATATTGACGTCCTTGATACATGAATATATCATAATACTCTGCTAGAATGATATGGTGATATTGACGTCCTTGATACATGAATATATCATAATACTCTGCTAGAATGATATGGTGATATTGACGTCCTTGATACATGAATATATCATAATACTCTGCTAGAATGATATGGTGATATTGACGTCCTTGATGCATGAATATATCATAATACACCACAAGAATGATATGGTGATATTGACGTCCTTGATACATGAATATATCATAATACTCTGCTAGAATGATATGGTGATATTGATTTGACGTCCTTGATACATGAATATATCATAATACACCACAAGAATGATATGGTGATATTGACGTCCTTGATACATGAATATATCATAATACTCTGCTAGAATGATATGGTGATATTGACGTCCTTGATACATGAATATATCATAATACACCACAAGAATGATATGGTGATATTGACGTCCTTGATACATGAATATATCATAATACTCTGCTAGAATGATATGGTGATATTGACGTCCTTGATACATGAATATATCATAATACTCTGCTAGAATGATATGGTGATATTGACGTCCTTGATACATGAATATATCATAATACTCTGCTAGAATGATATGGTGATATTGACGTCCTTGATACATGAATATATCATAATACACCACAAGAATGATATGGTGATATTGACGTCCTTGATACATGAATATATCATAATACTCTGCTAGAATGATATGGTGATATTGACGTCCTTGATACATGAATATATATCACAATACACCACAAGAATGATATGGTGATATTGACATCCTTGACAAATGATTACATTACGATGCACCACAAGGATGATATGGTGATGTTGACATCCTTGACAAATGAATATATTACGATGCACCACAAGGAGGATATGGTGATGTTGACGTCGTTGACAAATGAACATATTGCGTTACACCACAAGGATGAAATCGTGATGTTGACATCATTAATTAGTGAATGCACCACATTTATTCAAGACCGTAATGGATGGAAAACACATTCAACTAATAGTTTAGTGCTCATTGTAGCTACATACAGAAAGCTAATGACATACAATAACAGGTCACGCCAGAATTGTTCACGAGCATTCATTGACCAGTGAAATGACCATCAAAAAGTCGAGAATTGAAAAACAGGATGCCGCGTTTAAGGGCAATATTTTCAACTTTCCAGCTTCCATTCCCGTTACACTTTGAAAAGTATCTTAGCAAAGTATTTTCAAAGTTTATAAATCAAACGAATGATCTGGATTGTCCAATAGATATTGTATAGCAATACTGTAGGGCGTAACACATGGCGTAAAGAGTGAGCGTAACTTGTCGTCACAAAGAACAATGTTAGGGTGTAACAAACACGGCACAGTGGTGGAGCGTATCTTGTCGTCACAAAGAACAATCTTAGGGTGTAACAAACACGGCACAGTGGTGGAGCGTATCTTGTCGTCACAAAGAACAATGTTTGGGTGTAACAAACACGGCACAGTGGTGGAGCGTATCTTGTCGTCACAAAGAACAATGTTAGGGTGTAACAAACACGACACAGTGGTGGAGCGTATCTTGTCGTCACAAAGAACAATGTTAGGGTGTAACAAACACGGCACAGTGGTGGAGCGTATCTTGTCGTCACAAAGAACAATGTTAGGGTGTAACAAACACGGCACAGTGGTGGAGCGTATCTTGTCGTTACAAAGAAAAATGTTAGGGTGTAACAAACACGGCACAGTGGTGGAGCGTATCTTGTCGTCACAAAGAACAATCTTAGGGTGTAACAAAGACGGCACAGTGGTGGAGCGTATCTTGTCGTCACAAAGAACAATGTTAGGGTGTAACAAACACGACACAGTGATGGAACGTAACTTGTCGTCACAAAAAACAATGTTAGGGTGTAACAAAGATGGCACAGTGGTGGAGCGTATCCTGTCGTCACAAAGAACAATGTTAGGGTGTAACAAACACGGCACAGTGGGTGAGCGTATCTTGTTGTCACACAGAACAATGTAAGGGTGTAACAAACACGGCACAGTGGTGGAGCGTATCTTGTCGTCACAAAGAACAATGTCAGGGGGTAACACACGACACAGCGGGTAAGGGTATCTTGTCGTCACCCGGAACAATGTCAGGGTGTAACACACGGCAGAGTGGGTGAGTGTATCTTGTCTTCACAAAGAACAATGTCAGGGTGTAAAACACGACACACTGGGTGAGTGTATCTTGTCTTCACAAAGAACAATGTCAGGGTGTAAAACACGACACACTGGGTGAGTGTATCTTGTCTTCACAAAGAACAATGTCAGGGTGTAACACACGACACGGCGGGTGAGTGTATCTTGTCTTCACACGGAACAATGTCAGGGTGTAACACACGGCACAGTGGGTGAGCGTATCTTGTCTTCACACAGAACAATGTCAGGGTGTAACACACGGCACAGTGGGTGAGCGTATCTTGTCTTCACACTGAACAATGTCAGGGTGTAACACACGGCACAGTGGGTGTGCGTATCTTGTCTTCACACGGAACAAAGTAAGGGTGTTATATAGAGTACAATGAGGTGCATCTTAACTTCCAGAGAAACGCCTTTTTTTCGTGCTATGCCGAATACTGATGTTACGTTTCTCATTTGCGTATTACACCATGGCTGCCGTAAATCTTGTAATAAACCGACCGACCGAGTTCATTTCAAGCAGATCTATTTTAGCACAGGTTTCAAATGTTCTTCAGGTCCGGCTGTTGACTTAATATATTTGAGACACGTCGACAGGGCCGTCAAACAACCTGATATATGGCTATCCTCCACGATCCTCCACACGTCTTGGTTGGATCCCCTGTGCAGGTACGGTCGCACTGGTTGTCGGACACTTTCAGGTAGCCACTCTTGATCACGTTACCGCAGAAACATTGCTGTCCGTCCTTTAACACAAAGCATGCGGCTGACATATGCGCTTACGCCTTTCGTCACTTTGAATTGTATTCTGTTTTTCTAATTCAAACTGGTATTTCTCCTTTTCATTATTTTCTGTTTTCTGATGCCTAGTAAACCGACTGGCATTCTTACATCTACATAACCGTCACTGTAACTTTGTGACATACAGATTAGTGACTACCTAGAGTGTAGGAAATACTAAGTGTCCGAGGACAGAGCGTTAACCTTACTTGTATACAGATTTGATAATATTCTTTCGCAGACATGGATTGAAGAATATGACAATGACTGTATAAGAGTAAAATAAACGGGAAGAGAAACTGATGCATAAACAGTGAGTGAGTGAGTGAGTGAGTGAGTGAGTGAGTGAGTGAGTGAGTGAGTGAGTGAGTGAGTGAGTGAGTGAGTGAGTGAGTGAGCACCAGAAATGGGCTTCACATATATATATACTTAAATAAGGCTATTGGGTTCAAAAGTTTGGTGTGTAAGAGACTGACTAAGTATGTTATAGTTGCCTGCCATATCAATAACGGATATACCAAAATATCACTATTAGTTACCCGGCTACTTGCCAGGTAGTACCGGGTGATACGGTCAAACGGTCCGTACCACCCCATACTACCTGGCAAATGACTGAGTAGCGAATTTATTCCCCTTTAGAACATTCATTTTGTCGACTGATATTTCGAAAGGAAATAACATTTATCGGTTAAAAAACTGTGTTGTAAGTGACGTTTTTTTAAAATACGATATTAGAAACTTTAGAGTACGGTTTCATATGCACTGGCTATTAACCAATTCAAAGTCTTCTCATATATCTAACGGGTAAAAATGCTGTTGATCACGGGATTTTCTGGTCCGGACTCGGATTATTTACAGACCGTCGCCATATAGCTGGAATATTGTTGAGTGCAGCGTTAAACAACCAGCCAACCAACGGGTAAAAGAAAAAACCCACATTATTATACTGCTTAAAGCTTAACCAATAAAAAGTCCTCTAACATATCTAAAGGGTAATATAACAAATTATCATATTTCTCAACACTAGTAGATCTCAGATCTGAAATACAGCCCTTAATACCCACCTCAAGTCCATAGAAGGAGTATCCCTTCTGGGTGCAGTGATTTCGACACATGTCAACCGTCATAGCGATGTTGTTGTTAATTTCTTCATGGGGAAGGATACGATCCCCATCATCTTCGTAGCAGCCCATGAACACATGACCTACATGGCAAACATATAATATAATACATTACATGTACACTGAATAGACCCTACATACAGGAACTTGAAAATAAACATTAGGCATTACTGGTTCATACAGTAGCCCCTATATACAGAACCTACTAGACAAACGTTAGACATTACTGGTTGATACAGCAGCTCCTATATACAGGACCTACAAGACAAACACCAGACATTACTGGTTCATACAGCAGCCCCTATATACGGAACCTACTAGATAAACGTTAGACATTACTGGTTCATACAGCAGCCCCTATATACAGAACCTACTAGATAAACGTTAGACATTACTGGTTCATACAGCAGCCCCTATGTACCGGACCTACAAGTCAAACATTAGACATCGAAGGTTTCTAAAGCATCTCCTCTACATGTGACAAAATGTGTAATACGTGCAAGACAAGCTCCCTTGGGAGAAAGAAAAAGCTTTACCCGGCGCTCTGTAGGTTTGTGTTTTCAACAATAGATAGCCCTTAACTATCCAGTGTAATGTCTGTATGAGGATCAGTTGAAATCGGAGAAGTGTTAAAGGTACAATAAACATCTTTTTCGACCTTTGGTGGTCCAGAATCTGAACTTCTGACAATTCCCACTCGTCGCATCCCCGTCATTGAGGCAGCAAGTACAGGAATACATCTCACACGTCATCGGGAGCCGAAATGAGCTACTGAATGATCTGTATGACTATTGCGCTTTTCAGTGTTATCATGGTTGGAGGTTCGCTTACACAGCTACATAAGGACTCTCCCTCTCTCTCTCTCTCTCTCTCTCTCTCTCTCTCTCTCTCTCTCTCTCTCTCGCTCTCTCTCTCTCGCTCTCTCTCGCTCTCTCTCTCTCTTTCTCTCTCTCTCTCTCTTGCTCTCTCTCTCTCTCTCTCTCTCTCTCTTAGTCTCTCTTTGTGCGTGCGTGCGTGCGTGCGAGCGTGTGTGTGTGTCAAATTCTGGGTTCACCAGGAACACTCCTCGTCAAGAACCTTGATAGGTAAACACTGCCATTCGTGATTGGTCACTTCCTTTGTTTGTGACTTATCTGATTCCGAGGTTGTAAAACTGCACCGTGAACTACTCCCAGAAATCAAATCAGTTGACAAATCACAACAGAATTTAAAGGGATTAAATCTGAGTCTGCTGAGATCAACGCCACCCAAGCTACAAGACAGTGTAAAATTAGCCCTTTTTTAACAATTCGCTGTCATTATTGACGAGTCCGATTTCTCCCGGCAACTAATTTCACAATGTTATGATACTATCCCCTAGTTGCACTGTCCATGCTTTGCTTGTCGTTATTATACAGGAATACGGGCCGCAGACCTTATGTACAGCAAACTATCTCGATCTTGACAGTCTGATGCTGTACAGGTCAGACCGAATATCACACAAGTTGACGATATCGCTGACAGACTTGAGAATCTGGAATCATTCTCTACGTCCATGTTATCCTCTAATGAATCCATTTCTAACTGCCAGATAAGATGTCCAATCTAGATTAGGAGCAGGAACAATGGCGGAGGCGGAACTATGTGATTTTGTATGGTTTACCGGAAAAACAAGAGAAACAACCTACATTTGCAAGAAATATATGCCATTTGCTGAACGACAACGCAAATTACGAGGACAACACAATCTATGTCGACTGTTTGGA